GGGTAGAGCACGAAGGGCGCATTGTCATTGTCGTCCAGCACCAGCACACGCACCAGCGCCTGGCTACTGAGTGCAGGGGTGCCTTGGTCTGTGGCAGCAACGAGGAACTCGAAGTTCTGCAGAGCCTCATAGTCCAGCGTCCTGAGCGCGAACAGCTGCCCATTATCTGCATTGATGGAAATGAGAGAGTCGAGGTCCAGCTGCGGGTCCTGTGGTGGCAGCAGCGAGTAGGTGATGTGGGCGTTGGAGCCAGAGTCTGAGTCTGTGGCTCTGATGGTGCCTATGTGCAGGGCGGGGCTGTTGTTCTCGCGGACAGACAGGGTGTAGGAGGATTGGGTGAAGGCGGGGGCGTTGTCGTTGACGTCGGACACCTGCACTGTTATGGCGTGCTGGGTTGTGAGCCTGGGTGTGCCCATGTCGGAGACGGAGATGGTGATGTTGTACTCGGCTCTGCTCTCTCTGTCCAGGGGGCGCTCGGTTACTAGAGTGTAAAAATTTTTGAAAGTAGGTTTCAAGAGAAAAGGGAGTTTGTCTTGAATGGAGCACATCATTCTCCCGTTCTCTCCAGAATCTTGGTCTCGTAAACTGAAAACAGTGACCACTATCTCTGACAAAGAGTTCTCTGGGATGGGACTCATAAGAGAAGTGATGACTATTTCCGGTGGGTTGTCATTCACGTCTGTAACCTGAATAATAATGGTTGATTTTCCAGAGAGACCACCACCATCAGCGGCCTGAACATTTATTGTGTAAGACTGAATTATCTCAAAATCTAGGAGTGCTTTCAAATGGACTTCACCAGAAATTGGATGGATTTCAAATGTTTTCCGTACATCTCTAGAGATATGAGAAAATGAATAAGATATTTCTCCGTTTATCCCCGAATCCAAATCTGTAGCAGACACCTTGATTACCAGTGAGTCCACAGAACTGGTCTCTGGTACTTGAACCTCATACAGGGTTCTTTCAAACTCAGGGGCATTGTCATTGACATCCAGAACCACAATTTCAATCAGTGCAGTCCCTGACCTAGGCAGGGAGCCTCCATCTGTGGCTGTTAGTATTAAACTAAACGAAGGCTCCTTTTCTCTGTCCAGAGATCTATCCAGTATCAACTCTGGGTATTTTATTCCTTTACCACTGTCTTTTAACTTAATGTAGAAATAGGGGTTGGGGCTTATTGTATAGTTTTGTATACCATTCACCCCTATATCCAAGTCCTGAGCAGTATCCATTTGGAATGATGTTCCTGGAGTAGCACCTTCTGAGATATTTAGAATTAAGAGTTTTTCTAGAAACGTGGGAGTATGATCATTTATGTCTTCAACCAAAAGCTCAGCCTGAAAAAACTGCAAAGGATTTTCCAATAACACCTGGAAATGCAATATACAGGGTTCACTGCTAGCACAAAGTGCCTCCCTGTCCAGTTTTTCATTCAAGAGCAAGTTGCCTGTCTCAAGTTCTAACCGCAAATAAGGCTGATGCACATCAAATATAACTCTGGCCCTCCGTGCAGCCAGATCACCCACGCCCATGTCTTTAATTATATTGGCTATAGTGAAGCCAGTCTCCATTTCTTCTGCCACAGAGTACCTCCAGGTCTCGGAAAAAACTAAGGATCCTTCCAGGAAAACAAAGAAAAGCAGCACTTGCCTTATATGCTGAGCAATCCCCAATCCGGGCTCCATCATTCCTTAGATAAAATGCTTTCTGCCCTACTGTGTCCACTCAGTCTCCAGCAGCTCAGAGAGTGGTTCCGCTCATCTGGACCTCGCGAATTTATAGACCTGCGCTCCTTTCTGGAGGTTCTTGTGGATGCTCTACCTTTTCCGAACCCTGGCGTGCTGTTTTATTCAGTGCTTTCTTTGCCGCTGCTTAAGGGAAACCCCTGAGCCGCTAAGAAACATTCTCCCATCTTATCCTGCAGCGCCACCATGCGACTACACAGGGTTCAGCAAAGTCAAGCAAGTTTGAGACAAAATACTAATTTATCAAATGTTATTTTTAAATTAACCTAAATTGTATTTTCTTCTTCATCCCCATTTCCATTTCTGAGTTGTGGTTTTTTGTAATTAACACAATAACTTACTAGCTGTGGTGGTGAAATGGTTTAAAATAGAATCCTGTTTCAAACCGTTTATGAAGACAAACTGTAAAGCTGAAGGACTCCCATGTCATTGATTTTTTTACAAAAATGAACAAGAGATTCTTAGAGACATTGAAAGTGGCAACCTAGGTAGCTCTTCTAGATATCACCAAATGTTCTCAGAAAAAGCTGGAAGGGTGTGTTTACGCACTTGAAGTTGAATCTGGTATGTGCAAATAGTTATTTGGGAGAAGTTGGACATTTTGTCCTAGGTATTTGGTAACATTTGTTACCATTTCTTTAGGAATACATATAGGAGACTTACCTGGCTGCAGTAGAAAAATAAATACTTACTAAGAAATAAAAATATGATGTGTCCAGATTCTGACAACATAAAACTGTGAAGTTGGACTTCACTACTTTACACATCCAGAGCTCCCAACAGAATGGTTCTAAACATCATATTTGTCTATTCTCTGAATTGCTCAGTAAATCTCTATTAAGCACATACTTGAGCTAGTAATTGTGATAAGCATTTGGGATTGAGTGATAACCAAGCAGAAGCAGGAGCAAAAGCTGTTTCTTTTATGAAAAGAGGATAAAGAAAGAGAACACTTAACATGAAACATAATGGCTACCTTATCGAGGAAGGCTCATGCTAATAGGAGATCATAGCTCAACAAATGAAAATTTGGGAGTGGAGAAAAGGCCTTCCTGGAGAAAATATATTCTAAACTGATACATGTAAAATATGTGGAAGTAATCCAAACAGAAATTATGGGAGAGCTGGAGGCATAGTTCAGTGGTAGAGAGTCCATGTGAATCCCGGTCTCAGGGAAAGGGAAAACATGATGGCTCAAATCTAAAATGAGAGGTGTGTTTCAAAGAACTGAAATAAGATCATGGTAATAACAGAGAGCAAGAGTAAAATAATCAAAGCTGAAACTGGAAAATCAAGCAAATCATTTTTAAGGCATGCCCGAGGAAATGCAAGACAGTGTTCTGAAAAGAAAAGTCATATAATTATATAATTATATATTATATAATATATAATTATATAATTAAAAAATAAATGTGTTTCAGACTTGAGAATAAATTAGAAAGGAATAATATAAAAACTGGACACTGATAGCTGGTTACAGTAGGAGATGATACTAGCCTCAAGCATAAATGTAGTAATGGATTTTCACCCAAACTATGGGATGAAGAGATAGATCCAGGAAGTGTTAGAATAATGAAAAACTACTTTGTTTACAAGTTTAAGAATTAAATGGTTATCAGTGCTATTAACCAATGCTGTAAACACAGAAAAAGAAGAAAAAGAGGGAGCTGAAGGGGGAATTTAGTTTTGGGGAAGAGGAAATGTTAACTTAAAACCCACCTAAGGTGTGTAAGAGTTTAAGGTGTCCATAGAACATTTCTATAGTTATACCTCTGATACTCCACTATATAAATGAAACCAGGAAAATATGTGGACTTTCAGTGACAAATGTTAGGATTTGTTGAAACAAAGTGTTTGAGATCCTTCCAGAAAGATAATAAATGATTGATTTTGTGATTTTGGGGTGATGTAGCTCAGTGGTAGGGCACTTCTCTTGCACCTACAAGGGCCTTTTCTTTATACTTGTACTCATTACTGGAGGATCCTGTTGGAGGAGGGGAAGAAAGTGAGCAAGAGGACAAGGAAGAGAAGAGAGAATACACAGACATGAGTGGCTGCCATCTCCAGAAAGCACTTATGACCATAGGTTGACCATTCTAGAGTAGAATTGGATGTGGAACCAGGTATGATGATACACACTCATAATCGCAGAACTACAGAGGCTGAGGTGTAAGAATCACCAGTTTGAACCCAGCCTGGGCCACATAGTGAGACTTTATCAGGAGAGAACAAATGCCGTCTAGAAACAGAGACAAGTCAAACTCCTAGACCCACATCTGTGGCAAGGCAGGGGTCAATAAAGAGAAAAAATATTTTTACCACCTTCCCGTGTGATCTTTATTTATTTAAAACTAAAATGCTAGCAAGTTTGTTTAATTCTTTTCTTTGATGACTCTACACAAAAGCTGGATAGAAGGGCTTCTTTCTATCTTCTATACATTATGTAACCCAGAACGTAAATATGATGAAAATACAAGGAAGACACTTAAAAACAGAGTAAAAACGTTCAACATACATTCAAAAGGAGAGATGAGAATTTTTGTTTCTAACTTCTTCAGCACACTGAAGCTCCCTTATTTTCCATTGCTTCTACTGAGAAACACAAATCAGATTGTCATGTGTTGAATTTAAGATTCTCTTTCCTGTGATTTTTTTAAATTAACAGTTCTCTTTGTCTTTGATTTTCTAAAATGTCATTAGGACATTTATAGACATGTACATCTCTGTAATGTATACTTCTGGATTTATAGCAGTCTCTTGGATTTGTTTGATGATGTTTTCATCAATTCTAGAAGTTTCTCAGTCTTAATTTTTTCAAATATTGTTCTGGTTAAATTTTTCTCATCTCTTTTTCTGGAAAGTGATGGCATATGCCTTTAAACTCAGAATTTAGGAGGCAGAGGCAGGCAGATCTCTGAGTTCAAGGCCAGCTTGGTCTACAGAGTGAGTTCAAGAAGAGCCAGAGCTATAAGGAGAAACCCTGTCTTGAGAAACAAAAGCTGCAGGATCTCCATGACACTGGGGAACAACAGGATAACTGAGAGGAGTTCTGGTGAGGGTCCAGCATTGATAGTTTAGCAGAAGCCAGAGGCCTTGAACTAGACCAGTGACTCACTGCAAGAAAAGATAAGCATTGCAAGAAAAGATGTGTGGATAAAATGGTATACTATGTGACACACTACAGTTTCTATGATAATATTTTTTATTATTTATTTTTTACTATTTTCTTTTGGGGAGTTGCATGGGCAGAGGGCAGATATGAAGAGATAAGGAGATGAGTGAGGTTGGGGTGCATGATGTGAAAATCATAAAGAATCAAAAAAATGTTTTGAGTTTTTTGATTTTTTTATTAATGTGTTTTTCATCATGGAAGCTTAATTTTGTCCTTATTTAATATGTCATATTAATGTTGATGTGTCTGCATGGGGATACGTACATGTGTGAGTACGGGTGCTAGCAGAGGTCAGAAGAGGGCATCAGCTTCCCTTGAGCTAGAGTTACAGTTGAGCTACCAGGCATGGGTAGTGGGAATGGAATTCTTATTCTTAATAACTAAGCCAATCTAGTATTAGTATATTGTGGATTGCCTGGTAATGATGGTGATTTCACATTCTTCCAAGTTAGTTTGTTTCTTGCTGGCTCTTATTCATGGCTTAATATTTGTCGGGTATTCAACTGTTAAGTCAAGAATATTAAAAATGCAAAACAATAGAGTAGGTAACCTATATTTAGGGAATAATTTATTTTATATAAACCCACATTTGTTTTTTATCAGGACCTAAGATTACTGCCTGTTAGTGATAGCTAATTAAATTCAAGGCTAGAAAGTAAGTTCAGGGCTGAAAGCTCACACAGGGCTGATGTATTTCCAGTTTACTGTCCGTGTCAATTAATGGGAAGGTCACATGTAAAAGCCTCAGTTTGTTAGGGTTTGATCTCCGGTCTATAAATCACTGACACGAAAGTTGGAATCTCCCAAGATTCTAAATGGTTCTAGAAAAATATATACTTTGTGATTATTTGTTCATTTCAACATTGAATTTGAGCTGACAGTATCTTTATAGCTAATTGCTTCCAGTGAAAGCAGAGGGCAACATAACCAACACTTAATTTTGAGAGGATTTAGACAAATGTATCTGTACCCTAGCCCCATATTCATACTGCATTGTTGCTATCAACATCTCCATTTATACTCCTCCACTAAACTGCCCTTCTTTAGACTGGGTATCTTGTAATTTGTAAAATAATCAGGCACTTATCAGCCATAAATACAGATCTATTCTTTGTGGCTACCTGAGAAAGACAATGATGGATTGTTAATACTTTATAATATTACTTGTGCTTTTTGTGCATGCTGAAAATTGAACTTTGGGCATCCAAAGTTCTCAGTGTGCATAGATTCCCATAGTCATTTTGCTGGAAGTTGAGCATGAAGCCAAGGTCTTGAACCTACCTGCCAGGCCTACACAACTAGACATGATATTTATGCCTTTTAGTCTTATTTTTACGATCTAGTGGATCCTTTTGAAAAGAGGCCTCAGCCTGTAATATAGGCTGGTCTTGAATCACTGCACAGCATGGTTGTCCTGCAACTTAATGGCAGTCCTCCTGCCTCAGGGACTCAGGTGGAGGGACCACAACCCTAAATCGCCACTCTGCTGCTTTTTAAGTTTTCAGAACATGTCCCACAGAGCTCAGGCTGGCTTCACACTCCAGTCTTCCAAGTGCTTAAACTATGGAAGTATGTCAGCACATCAGGTTCTGTTTCCTTCTTTATTAAGGAAAACTTACTGCGTAGCCCAAGCCGATCTGGAATTGACTATTCTTCCCCAGCTGACAGCTGACAGCTGGAATTTCACATTGATTCTTCCACACCTGGCTTGTATTTACTTTTATTAATGATTAGGAAAAGTAAATCTAAGTCATTTTTAATAGTTTAAAGTCTCTATTTCAGGGTCTGGAGAGATGGCTCAGCAGTTAGGAGCACTGGCTGCTCTTCTGTGTTCAATAACCAGCACCACGTGGCAGCTCATATCTGTCTGTAACACCAGCTCCAGGGAATCTGACACCCTCCTACAGAGATATATGCAGGCAAAATACCAATGCACATAAAATAAAAATAAATTATTTTAAAATATTAAATTTACTGGGCAGTGTAGGTGGACGCCTTTAATCTCAGTACTCGGGAGACAGAGACAGGTGGATCCCTATGAGTTCAGACCAGCCTGGTCTACAGAGCTGGTTCAAGGACAGCCAAAGCTACACAAACCCTGTCTTCAAATAAAAAAAAATAAATAAAAATTAAAGATATTTAATTCGATTACTAGAAAGTTTTTATCCCATTCTTTTCTGGTAGAAGACTGTTTTACTTAGGACAAGATTATGAACTATTGCTTTAGCAACAAATGATACAGAGTACCCCAAATTTTAACCAAGAAAGCACAGTGTATTTAAAGACAAGACACAGCAGTATCAGGACCTAAAATATTTTGAGAATTAGAAGGCATCGCTAGAAAAGAGAAAAGGAGAAATTACTTCAAAATCAGTGTTTAATGCAGCAACATGAGCAGAAATTAATTCTTGGAAACACTACTACTACCAATACTACAGCTGCTGGATACCGAGGGACAGCATTAAAAAAAAAAAAAACCTTTTCTGTTGAGATAATCCAACAGAGAATACTACAAATGATCCACCATAACTTTTTCCTAGATGCAGCAAAATCTGGTGCACAGTTTTCACAGCACATTCAAATAACTACCATATATGGTGACATTTGCCCCGTTTTTTGGTTCCCTTCTACCTTCCCTCCGTGTCTTTTGCTGTAGATCCACCCAGGGCTGCCTGCTTGTGGCCTCCACCCAGTAAGTATTACAGGAATCACCAGCTCAAGGCATTCCCTCTAAATACTTCAGTCAGCATTTCCATTGTTGTGTCTTGCATAACAACAGCAAAAAATTAACATAACATTTTAACAAAATAAACAAAACAAAAAGTGCAGATTGTTTCTTTGCATCACCGTAATCTCAATAAAGATTTTTCAAAGCAACTATGGGGGGGAAAAACGTGAAATGAAAATGCATGCAACATTAGTAAAACCTAGAATCCATTACAGATTAGGAAAAAAGCGTTTGCAATTTTCTCAATAAAAAGAAAATATGAAGAGTTTAAAGGAAACTTTCCTACTGAATATTAAATCCAAGGCTATCCCGAAAGTTCTCCTTTCCCTGCACGTTAGAACCAGCATCATCTTGGAATTGAAGACTGGGGATGACCGGCTTCAGGAATTTGAACTCATTTGTTCCAGTACCTCCAGTCAGACACACCTCATACTGATAGCTCTGGGACAGGGTTCCTGTACGTGCAACGTCCATCAGATGGCCAGGAAAGTGTCCCTCAGGAACAGAGCAGACACCCAGAGAGGCCGCCCTGGCCCTCCTGCACAGCCTCACCCCCACGAACAGCAGCACAGACAGGAGGAAAAGCGAAGACACAGATGCCAGGGCTATAACCAAGTACAGCGTGAGCACATCTTCAACATCCTGCGCAGGGTCGCGCGCCACCTCTGGCAGAGGCAGGTAGGGCTGGGAGAAGCC